AGCTGACAGCTTGAGTCACTGTCGTCATCTTATGCACAATAAACAAATCTACAATGAAAAGGATAAGGGGAAGCTAGTCATCCAACAGGAGGTAAAAAAAAAAAGTATTTTTTTGAAAATTACACATTATTAATTGGGGGAACAACTGCATCCCTCACAGAGGAGTGAAGCCGAGGAGGCTCGTGTTCGTCGGGGGCAGCACCAGTGCAGGGCCCATCAGATGCAGGCAGAGGCCCAGATGACTTGTCAGGTCCCTTCCAGACCTACGATTTTAAAAGACGCAGATAAATATCCCATGGGGTCTTGTTACTTTTTAAATTGATAACTTGCTTCTGCTCAAGAAGATCTCAAGAAGAGATCTGTGGACCTAATATATTAATTCTGTGTGCAGAGAGCCTTCCATCTACCAATCCCAAGGTGCTCTGCCGACAGCAGCTGCGGCTCCATTCCACCTGGGCAGGCGGAAACACTGAGGCACGGGGCATTCAGAGAAATTTCCAAGGTCACACAATGCATCATCTAAGGGTATCTGAAAATAGTTGCCACGTGGTTCTGTTCACTGACAGATGCGGGGGGTTTGGTTTTAGGACACCACTCTCTCTCCTCTTAAGTCTCCGGTAATTTCACAGACGGTTTTAAATTCTCAAGTGGCTTTCAAAGCGATTTGTTTTAATCTAGAAAATAAATACAGGACCGAGAACTTTTGAAGTGAGGCGTTCGTGTGTCTTGAAGGCGTAGGGCCGAATCAAACACAAAGCAACCGCTCTCAGCTTTCCATCCTCGGGATTCCACGACGTAGCCCATTCTGGGATGTAACTCCAGGAGCCTGCCGTGCTGAGCCACACGGCGGGAGCACAGGTTCGGATCTCCACAGTAATGGAGGCTCTCCAGGAATACGTACGCCTCTTGACCCTTAGACTGAACATCTAGGAAGCCAGTTTCCCTCTGGATCCAAGATGATGTCAAGGCCTAGATCAGATCGCTGGGAACACCTTCCTGGAGATCCAAGCCCTGTGACTAGGTGACTTTCATGGGGACTCCATGGTTTCCCACGTCCCTGGGGCAAATTACTCTAAGAGTTTCCATTCCAGTCTTTGAAACAGCATTACATTCCGTAGCAAATGAAGTGGTGCCTGAAGGTTCTCTGATCCCGTTGGCAGCCGCGATTGCATTCATGTGATGGGCTTCGTGCATTCCTGCCACTCATTACAGGGTAATTCTGAAAATGCTTGGACCTCATCCCTGTCCCTCACCCTCCCATCCTCAATCTGGCCATCAAGATATATTTAGCACCCCCACAGACTCTCTCTTTGAGCCCAGATTTCTTCCAAGTACATCAGAAAAGCCAGCAGCATTGTGACTAAGAGCAAGGTAACCAGGGCTATGTCAACAGGAGATGCCCACGCTTGCCAAATAAGGGAGAAAGGAAGACAAGGGCTTTGGCTTAGACATATTAGGGCACTGTCCTCTGTCCCCCTGTCCTGACACCAGTCTTGGTCTCACTCCCTCCAGTGTGCACTCACAGAACCAGCAAGTCAGAGGTAAGTGGGGGCCTGGCCACGACCTCGAGCCTCCAGCTACTCCCATCTTTCTCCATGCCCCTCTCTTGGTCTTAGTGTACGTAATTGTGCCTTTAATTATAGACACATACACGAACCTTCTGATACTGTACTTACAACACTACATCTATGTTTGGGGTGTTATTAATATAGCTGGTGAAACCAAAAGCTGTAGTTTTCTACTTGTGGTTTCTGAAGAAATATCTCTGAAGAAATTTGTATAATCTAAGGGAGCACATGGGCTGGATATGGGCTCCATCAGGCGGACAAGCTCTCTGCCTTGTGGTTACACCATAAATATGCATAAGGAGGGCCCACCCTATAGGAAAATCATAGGTTCCATATTTATGGCATATGTAATTGGATAAGGATTTGGGGATGTGTTGTACATGTGGCTTGCGTAAGGGGGCTGTGTTTTGCCAGGATGCTTGCAATTCCCCCCCCTCCCCCCCACAATAGAGAAATGCCTCCCTCATAGGCAACCTCATCATGACCTACTGGATGGAAAGAGACAAAGAAGAGGCTGCTCACAGGCTGCAGGAGGCTAGAAAGAGCTCCTTCGTCTTCCTCACTTCGTGGCCAAGAGAAGGAAGTCGTTCCCCCACAGGCCCACGCCTTGCCTCAGCCCAGCCTGGGTCCAAATTGTAAACAGTGTTTCACAAGGAAATAGCACGGCCACCCCCTACCCCCTCCAGCACTCATTAATCTTGTTTTCCTCCGATTTCCCCAATTCCCTGGTCTTCAGCACACTGCATTGGTGCTGACAGTGTCCAGGGAGTGGAAACCAAGTTCCCACATTTCTGCCCCCAACGTCACCATCGCCTCTTCATACCGCGTGCTCAGGCCTGTGTCTGCAAAGCCTCCCTCAGCACCATGGAGCGGAGCAGGCTGCTGCCCTCACCCCTGCTATGCTTTGCTCACGGGTTCTGCTGTCGGAACTGTGCTCTCGAGCCCACCACCCAGGGCCCGTTGGCCTGGCACGGCGCCCATCATCCAGCGGCTACAAAGAGAAACTCAGCACTAACGATCGGCCTAGACGAAGCCTCTCCCCCCATTTGCCCCCGACGCCCCTCCTCACCCGCCTCCTCTTCATGGCATCGAATCAAACTGCAGCAGACTTGACAAATCTATTTGGCATGGTTCACTCAACTATTTCAACCTGAACAGCCCAGAGAGCTGCGCTGACGCTCCGTGAGCGGCGCAGAATCTGCACATTAAATACAGACATCTGGGCGATAGACCTGCTAATGACAGAGCAGCAGAGATCACCCCTGGGGGAGAGGGCGGGCTGGTCTCCCTCATCTCCCACCACACCTGCAGTGGGGCAAGGGAGTGTGGGGCAGGGGTGACACCTAATTGGCAGGCTTTCCGTTCTCCAGCCTCCTTCTAGGTAGCCAGAGAATGAATTATCTAATCGGGAGAGAAGGGGCTTTTCCTCTGCCCCAGCACTTTTATGTGGGCAGGACTGATTCACTAAAAAGCCAAACAACAACAACAAAATGAAAATGAAATTACCCCTTGGCTCCTGGGCAAGAAAATTTAGCCAAGGGCGAGAGGAGAAAGTGAGAGAGACAAAGAGAGAGAGAGAATAATGCATCCAATATGAAAAAGTTGAGAATGATTCCAAAGGAGCCCAGAAAGCTAAATTCAATTCTCAGGAATAGCTTCCCTGCAGAATGAATACCAGGGATAAAGCCAGGGAGGACAGTGTTCTGTCAAAATGTGCAGTGCTAAGGTATTTCCAAAAGCAGATTTCCTACAAATAGTGTTTTAAATAGCATCCCAGTCCATCTGCGTGCTTTTAAAACCAGCTTCTGCTACAGTATCCCTCTGGCCAGCACTGCTTAGTCACTGCGCCTGGCCGGGGAAGCCGTCAGGTGAAGCTCCTCTTTCTCCCCCAGGACCCACTCCGACTCAGCACTGGCCTTCGCCTGCCTGGCGCAGCTTCTAGGTTCTATCAATTTCTTCCTGAACAGGGTGGGTGGGGAGAGAAGGCAGGGAAAAGACTAGGTTGGGGTGAGGACTCAGCCCATGCTCCCAGCATCCAATGCTAACTCCGGCTTGCCATTTCCAAGTGATATTTGCAACTGAAATAAACAAAGTCAGCGAGAAACCAGACCTGGTCTAGGTCTTTCAATTAAATACCTCACTTTCTCTATTCATGAAATGAGGAAAGTGTGTGTGTGTGTGTGTGTGTGTGTGTGTGTGTGTGTGTGTGAGAGACAGAGAGAGAGAGAGAGAGAGGGGGGAGAGAGAGAGACACCTGGTAATATCTAGAAGTCGTGATTTTCAGATGAATGGTGCCATGTTACTATGGCGATTTTAATAATAAAAAAAATCCACTGCTTTAAAAACTCACATTTCCCGAGCAAATCAGTGCCGACATTATAGTTCGGCATTTTCTCGGTTCAAGGTTTCCGGTCGCACCAGCGGGGACCAGCAGCCTCGAGGCAATGGTAGGAGCCGAGGAGGCTGTGTTTGGAAAAGATCTTTGGCTCTCTAGGTTTGGTCCCACGTGTCCCATTTTAATCATTCACAACTCGACAGGCAGGGGATCTGTAGCTCTAAAGAGGACGGTCTCTTTGCCTGTCCCCACGTCCATTCAGGCAAGGACAGGCACTCTCCTCCCAAAGCTGGGAGCCAATGCATGACAGCGTTCTCCCCCTGCCCAGCAAGACCACCAGCCACTTCCAATAAGCCATCATACGCGGAGCGCACCTTCTAACCGGCGTATCGCCAGCGCCGGCCACAGGCCCGCTCACCGCCAGAATGCCATGTGTCTTAAGTAAGTGGAGCGCCAGACATGCATCCATGTGAACAACAAAAACCCCACGTCACCCACATGGACACACCTCCGGGGGCCACAGACATTGAAGGCACCAGCTGAGCGAATTCAATGCCTTGCTGCCAAGCATGATTGCCAGTTCAGATCCCATCCCTGACAAACTGAATTTCTCCTCATTATTTATTGTTCTCTTTCTTCTTCGGGACATTGTGATTCCCTCTCAGGATTTGTGCCCTTTCATTTCCAGACCTCGGTAACTCCTGAACTACAGTTTCATGTGGTTTTGTGATTGTTAACCCAGCATGTGGAAGGGACTCGGGCCATAAATGCTCAATGAGTCCTGTATAGGGAGGCACGGACTGGGAACACATTTTCTCCTTCATTTGCAGTCAGAGAGCACTCCGCAAGCTTGCCTGCTCTCTCTCTCTGCTGTGCAACATGTAACAGCAGCCAGGCTGTTGGAGAAACTGTGTTTTCCAATCGCTTTAGCATAAGAAAGAATATTTTCAGGGCCACCGCCTCCCGTGCCTCCATCAATTATTTGAGCCTCACGGAACAAGCCCCCCTCCCCCCTTTGGGGTCAACTTGAAGCTCCTCTTGTCCCAAGCCTCCTGCACCACCCCCGCGTGCCTTCGAGGTGGGGATATGGGTTTTACCTTGTGGTTTTTGCCATGCCGGTACACCATCCAATCTTCACCATTAGTGCTGACTTCCAGCTTGTACGATTTGACATAGTAGCCATTCTGGGTTTCCCTGGAAATCGCGCCTTGCGTGGCAATGGCTGTAAGCATGGTTAGAAAGCGCAAGTCCACCTGAGGAAAGGCAGAGGAGGAATAAGGGGGTTGCAGCTCCTGAACAGGAGGGCATCACCTTGCTTTTTCTTCAAAGGACACAAATGTAATACTCAGCTTACAAGTCATGTCTGCGATTCACTCAGAATCAGTGTGAACTAGATGGTTCAACTCAACTTACTTGACACTTGATTGGACCCCTTTGAAATTGTAACTTGATTATTTTTCTTTTTTTTCTCTTCTTTGCAAATCTGAATAGACAGTATTCAGTTTATCTTAAAAGGATCCTTGCACATCTAGAACCATGACCCCTTCTTACTAAACTACAGCCTGCCTTATGTAGCGAAAGCAGATGCTATTCTAAGGAACAATGGCTAAATCCACTCCGCTCCACCCCACTCCAGTCCAGTCCAGTCCCATCCAATTCACTTATGATGCCCTAGCTGCAGCATCTCAGCTCAGGGCTGCCTCGCTCAGTTCCCGCAGTCCTTCCCCTCAGTCCCTCAATCCATTGTGTATTTAGTCACTCAGGTCACTAAAGGGTCAAAGAGCATGCAGAGTCTGCCCAAGCAATTAGGCTTATGCACCAAGTCCTGACCTTTTGCTCGATGAGGAAGATGGCCAACACTCTGAGGCACCTTTCTCCCCACAACACCAAACCCATTTGGAAATTGCTCGGTGTCATTCCTTTGCTGGCCATAGTGTTTCTTAATGGCAACCTCCGTGTGATCAAAAGTTAGCCAGCACTCACTGGTAAAATTTGATTCAGGAAGCATATATTGGCTACTTACTATCTGCTCAGCATAGTAAGCAATTTGGAAGATGTATGCAGAGCTGTATATGTGTATGATAAACAGCTGGATAGCAATACGAGAAGTTTATGATTGGGGACCAAAAATAAGGAGTAAAATCAATGGAACGTTGATTATACAGGAGAGCATTCTGGAAGCTTTGCAGGATTAGAAGGGTTTTTGGAGAGGCAGAGGAGAGATACAAAATGGCTTTAGGATTGTGCTGTTAGAACCTCTGTGAACTCCCTGGAAGTTTCTAAGTGGTGCTTCTCCCTTTCCTGTTGTCTGTTCTGCAACATCCTTCTCAGAACAGAGGTCATTGTGTCACATCAGAACTAGGACAGGCTTGTCAACGGGTCACAAGGCTGTCTGGTGTGTGTCATAAAAGCAGTCATTGCTCTAGCATGGACCCAGCAGCTGTTCTTCCCCGGGGGATGGGAGCTGGACCAGTCTGTGGTTTTAGGGGGAATTATTCGGCATCAACTGCAAGTCTTATTCAGAAGGAAGGCAAACAATAGTCTGAAAAGATGCTGCAGAGCATCTGGGCAACTAGAGTTTCGTTCCCGGTAGTGACATTTCCCCATGTGTTCTCCTGATAGCTATGTGCAAAACCTTCCTGGCAGGGCTCCCTCCAAATAGCAAAGATCATGAGAAGCTGCCATGCTCAGCTAGCGACTCGAGTCTGCCCTTAGGAAGACGCCCTCCCCCTACCAAGTCTCTGATGCCTCCCGGTGCCAAGAATGAGGAAGATCTGGAAGTGTTTATAGAATGTTCCATGGATTATCTCTACTGAGAAGCAAATAGCACCCAAGCCAAACAACTTCTCCAAGGCCTGCTAATTGTCACAAGGGCAGCGGCAGTGTCCATCCTACTTGTCATTTTATCCCAGCAGTTAGCACAATGCCAGGCTAAGTCTGATCGTGCCTGGCCCATGTGTTTTTGGATGGATGGATGAATGAGGTTCTCGCGGATGCTGTCTTTATTTTCTTTGTGTCCTCTGTCCGCACCAGCTGAGGAGCCACCTCTCTTGTCCACGATACACGTGCACTCTGCACTCCCTATGGTATCTAAGTACCTGGAGATATTCCTTGCTGGAATCCAAGTTGGGTGTCCAGCCATTGTCGTCACCATGGAGCCGGCTTTGCTGAGCTGTCCACCTTCCATCAGAGTAGGTAGAGGAGGCACTGATCTGTTCGTTCGCAATCCGGCCCGATTCCATTCCCAGAGGCACATTGCACTGGAAGTCTAGGGGGTGGAGATGGTCAAGGGCAGAGTTAGGTCTCTCAACCTCAAACCCCCGGGACCCTCACAATGTTGCTCCCTTCTAGGGGCAGGTCCTTGCAGGAACTCCCTCATCTCAAAGGCCTCATTATACACTCACATTTTAAACCACAACCCTGCCAAGTCACAGACACTGGTAACCCCTCTGGGTGTGAAAGACACCAAGTTGGACCTAAAAGAAGTCAGGCTGTGGGTAAATAAGAATCATCATACAAATTAAAAGTACAATCTAAAGGACAAGAACTGTTGGTGCTGCAGGCTATGGATGCTCAGACAGCAGATGCACCATTACGGAAATGCAGGTAAAACGTGTGAGACTCGTGGGGATCTGGGTGGGCTGATACCTTGTGGGAAGCTTGCTTTATTAATAAACACCCAGGAGGCACTTTTGTTTCTTTCTTTCACTCAACTGTCTCGAGTTCTGGCAGAAGACAGACATTGCAAAGCAGTAAATACCTGTCTTTGGGACACCTCTCCATGAGCACATGTGTGTCACTCCCTTCCGCTGAGCCACTTGTTGGGCAAATGGAACCAGAAGTTACTTACTCTGGCCATGCGCCATTAGCTCAATCGCTGTCCTTCCCATGGATACCACAGGCACTGGTCAATATTTGTGTGCGCATGTGTCTGAGAAAGACCAGCACTTTTTCCAGGTATCAAATCCATTCTCTAGCTCTGTGACTGAACCGGCCAATTGCGGAGCTTGGTGCAATTTGCAGTACTGTTTTCCTGTCACTCAATCTTCATGGGCTTTTTGAAGGAGCACAAAAGCAAAACCCAGAACAAAACCCGTCACCTTTCCAGCAGGCCAGGCTGCCATGTGCATAGGTAAGCATGCAGTAAGCTGTCTACAACCATGGCATCATGTCCCCAGCTCCAAGCGGCCTTCAACTATTTCTTTAGTACTTAACGTTATCATTTGGTTTCTAAGTGGAAATGGTAGCACATGTGAAGCACGTGCTAGAGGAGCTGATCTGAAGATGCGGGAGTTCAGAGTCAATGTGGGTGGAGGCAGGAGACTCACAGCCGGGTTGGGGTTTTCCCGGGTAGCCGGGACCAGAGCCGCACTTTATGCTTTGTTTGCATGGCACCTGGCACATAGGAGAAGCTCGGGAGCTGTGTATATTGGAAGCATGAAGGGAAAGTGCATGCATGTACCAGTCTAGTGAGAGAAGCTCTACCCGGGGCCAGAGATGTTTAAAGTAAAATATATATATTCATATGAGAGAGGTGTAAACATTGCTTAGTTTTCTGACAATGGCCACTGAGACTTAGAGAGACAGAAAAATAGCCACTGACTCAAAAAATGTTAGCACAGGGTGGGGGACTCTAGATAGATATCCTAACTAATCTCCCTTTCATTCATAGATGGTTCTGAGACTTACTCTGGGAATAACTAACTCTTGGTACACATTCTTACTTTTAAAGAAATGAATACTCAGTTGACATCTGTTCTATTTTCATTAATCTCTGCCTAGCAAGAAGATAGAGCCCCTGTTCCCTGACCTCAGATGCTACTATAAATTCTGGAGGGTTTCTCTCTCCTGCTCCCCCAGAGGCCAGCCTTTCTTCATTATACATCCTCACAGCCCTGGACTGAAGGATGGGACAGAGGTTCCCAACTGGCCAACTCACTGTCTGGTGGCTCTTGATGGACCAGGTAGTAGCGTGCAGAGAAGCCATCCCTGGCTACCGCCATGTCTGTGTGAAAGGTCAGAGAGAGGATTCCCGTCGACGAACGGAGTTCAGAGGGTGTTTTGGTCCCACAGTACTTGCCAATCAGGGGGCCAACTGGACATTCAAACAAAGACAAGTCAGTAGAAACGGAAGGTCAAACTACTCCATTTTCAATACATTTACCCTTGCCACAATCACAAGTCACTCCATAGAGCATTCTTTGGGTATGCCTTGACATCAAAGAATGACCAAAAATACATCTTAAGAACAATGTGTAGTATTTTTCCTGAACATTAAAAAGTACAGTTGACCCTTGAACAACACGAGCTTAAAGTGTGTGGATCTACTTATACATGGATTTTTTTGGATAAATATGGTACAGTACTGTAAATATATTTTCTTTTTCTTATGACTTTCTTAATAACATTTTGTTTTTCTCTAGCTTCCTTTATTGTAAGAATACTGTATACACCATACATAATATACAAAATGTGTGTTAACTGACTGTTTATGTTGTTGGTAAGGCTTCCCGTCAACAGTAGGCTACTGGCAGTTAAGTTTTGGGAGAATCAGAGTCATATGTGGATTTTCAACTGCATAGGCAGTCCAAGTATTGTTCAAAGGTCAACTGTACCTTCCCTGACCTGGCCTCATTCTATTCTCTCGCTCTGTTCAGGGATGGGCCAGAAAGCTATCATTTCTACAGAAAGCTTCCTGTTCTACAGAAGAATAAATTGAGGTTCAGAGAGGTCACATGACTTCCATGTTCATACGGCTAGGAAATAACACAGCTGGGACTCAAACCCGAGTTTTTTGACTAAGTCCTATGATTTTCTAAGGAAATGAAACTGCTTAGTCATCACGTCTCCATTATGGTGAATACTGACTACAAAAATGAACGACTGGTTTCTTCTGATACTGACTCTACTCAAGGCCTAGGTTGGCCTCCACCCAAGAAGCACTGGTTCCTCTGGGCCTTGAGTGATTCACCTTTTTGGTATCTGTGACTGTTTAATAACAGTAAAACCATAGTAATAATAATGGTGATGAAAACGGTTTACTTATACACATAAGAGACAGAGTTTAAGTGACCTGCCCAGGGTTGCAGACCTACTCAGAGCAGAGCCAGGATTCAAACCTAGTCAGTCTGGCTCTAGCATCCTATTTGGGCATAGAGGGTGGTCACTGAGTCATTTTCTGTGGACATCCTGACAACTCGGGGCAGAAAAGAGCATTACCGATAGGTTTTCTCATCCTCATTCGAGTATCTACTCAGTTTCCTCCTACCCTTCTCCAAAGAAATATCTCCAAGAAAGGAAACTGCCTTCCTGAAATTTCTCTGAAATCATTCTTGGTGAAGAATAAGAAGAGAAAGTCATCATGGGTCGTACACAAACCCTAAGGAACTCTGAAGTCTTTGTTCTCTCTCTTTTGTTTTATTGTTACTAAAACAATTCACAGGCGAAGACGAAGCTCCTGAGAAGTGGCTCATGATAGCGACATTACTTACCATGCGGAATGCCATCCCAGATGTCCAGCCAGTCGTATTTGCAGTCTCCTTCGCCCACCTGCAAAGGGTCGTGCTCCAGGTCAAAGGTCAGAAACTGCAGGATTATCTCCATCTTGGGTTTGGCCAGGATGGTAAAGGTACAGTCCAAGTTGTGTGGGTACTTCTCGGGAAACCCAGGGGATTCGATGGTCCCATTGGGGCTTGTGAAGTTTTTTGAACAGTCTTCGGAGCCTGTATGTCAAAGAGAACTGTAAGCATTAAGAAAGGAGAAGAAAATGCCTTTCTCTCCTGCCTCTGTCACATGGGTTGTTTACATGTTTGAGCCCCAATCCCCCTACTCAGGAGGCTTTTGTTTTCACTGGAGAGGCCCTTGAAGCAACATAGTCTTCACACCCACATCTCAAGCCTTTAAGTCAGACTTTCTTTAGGACAGAAATTAGGGGAGGAGAGCGGGCTTGCTCTACATAATACAGGAAGCTCAGCCATTGAGGAGTTGGGGTTAGAAAGAAGAGTGTGTGTGAGATACAGGGAGGGAGAGAGCGAGAGAGAGAAAGGGAGAGATTCCCTTGAAAAGAGGAACAGAGTCTTCTTTCTCAATTACTCAGCTGCTTGCTCCAGAAATGTAAGTTATTTCAATCCTTAAGGAAGGCTTGCTGATTGCCAGCAGGGAAAACAATGTTACCCCTTATTTATTGCTGACCTCAACACTAACCCCTATTGTCCCAGAGCCAACTCAGTGCCCCCTTCTCCCTCCAAGATCCAAGGTGCCTCAGGGGAGGGGCAAAGGGGAGCTCGGGTCTCATTCATGTCATGACTATATTAAAACGAGCTGCTCTGTAGTGGCCAGACAATTAACAATCGACGTTTGTAGCTGGTGGATCACAGCAGGGCGTTGGGGATGTTAAAGGCCGCTCCAGCAGCAAGTTAGGAAAAACGCGGCAGTGTACTGACATTTGGAAGGCTTCTGGTTCCTTTGTGGTACGGATGGCCTTGTTTTTCTCCAAAGCTCTTGCGTCTGCTTTCTTGGGACTCACGGAGGCGTTCTTATTAAATGCTGCACACATTCGCATCCCGGTGCAGGCTCCGAGGGCAGTAAGAGCTCCAAGGGGATTACAGCCACCAGATCTGCGAATGCCTCTAGGTGGAGTCACATGAAAAGGGCCCTCATGTGCTCGCACCCAGCCACCATTGGCCAGCGTGAGCTTTGGGCCGGTCCCGGGACGCTGGGCCCACGGGGCGGCAGGGGCCAGAGGTGATGCCAGTCAGCGCCGTGGATGTAAAAGCTGGACAATCACAATTGATTTCACTAGGCACTGATTTTAAAATTTAAAAAAAGGTAGCAGGATTTATGAGGAGGATAATAAGCACTCTAAGCATGAAGAAAAAATACAGAAATACTCGATAAACCAGGTGTTTACTGGCAGGAAGTGTCCTCTGGGGATCCCACTGAAGTATAACTGCGTGATGTCAATACGCTGATCTTAGCCCTCAGCGATGTCTTTATCCGAGGCTCCTGCAGCAGGGCCCTCCGCGAGGCTCTTTATTGATGATGGCTTTCTGGAAAGCGCACACATCTGACTTGGAAAAGGTGCCATGCAAATAAGTGGGAGAAGGGAGACTGCAACTTCCTTTAGCCTCGGCCCGGAAATTCCAGCATCCCTACCTGCCCATCCATCACCTTCGCCCTTCAGTCCTGCGCTGTGCCCTGGCAGCGTGGGGATGGGGGAAAGGCGAGAGCTAACCTTTTCAGCATTCCCAAGGCTCCCTAAAGCGATGCATCTCTGAGGCTCTGCACTCCGTCAGTCACGGGTGGGGTGGCCCGTTGGGCAGCTGGGTCCAGGGGGCTGAGCTGCGCCGGCCTTTCCCCAGTTTGTTTACCCCTGAGCCGCCAGCTTTGTTTACTGTCAAGCCCCACGCTCCGGAGGGCCTCCTCAATGGTTTGGGATGAGGCAGTTTGGCAAAGCCAAGCCAGCTGGCCGGTCTTTGGGGGGCTGAGAGGAATCTTGAAAAGGTTAGTGTTTATTGCCATTGTGCAGCCTTCTCCATGTGGGTCACTGAGCCAGAGGAAATTAACTCTCTATCCACAACTGGCTTCCAGAGCTGGAAAAGGCATCTTGACATTCCCTCCTCAAGTTTGCTGTCTGTCATTCCTTTCCAGGGCAAGGGGAATTCCTCCCCCTCCCCGTCACTCCCCCCGCCAGCTGAATCCTCCCCCACCCCCACACAGGAGTGAGGAATTTTGGGTGGAAACTTTCTTTGGTTTCTCCCACAATGGACACCTATTAAGCCCAAGAGAGGCCCAGGGAATATGACATTCTAAGTAGCCATGGTTTCCAGGGTTCTGAGGTCCTGCACTTGACTGGTCTGAGTTTTTCAATATGATATTCTTTTTTTCTTAAATGTTTATTCACTTTAGAGAGACAGGGAAAGACAGAGCACAAGTGGGGAAGGGGCAGAGAGAGGGGGAGACACAGAATCTGAAGCAGGCTCCAGGCTCTGGAGCACAGAGCCTGACGCAGAGCTCGCTCATAACTGCGAGATCACAACCCGAGACAAAATCGGACACTTAACCGACAGAGCCACCCAGGTGCCCCCAATATGATATTCTTATGGCAAAACAAACAAACAAAAGCACCAAAAAAGCGTATGTATCTATCTCGGACACATGGCTATACATGGGTATATTCTCTGGCTTATTTTAACTGAGGAAGAAAAACAGTTTTATCCGTTTTATGCAGAACAGTCAGACTTGTCCATTGCAGTGGTGCATTCGTCTGTAATTGTGCCACCTTACGGTTTGGACTGTGGTCAAAGTGTCAGAAAGCAGGCAGCTGAATGTTAAATGTGGAGGAGAGATCTCAGAAGAGGGTGACCATCTTGGGACAAAAGGGGAGTCTTGCAGACATCTACCTCATCCAAGATCCTTTTCTGCAATGTGTGAAAAGAATCAAAGGCTAAAAAAAAATAGCCCAGTCAACAAATACTCAGGTTCACTCAGCTCAGATTGTCCACACGAGCTAGAGGATGTCGGCTGCAGCGAATGATTTCATACCAAAGGACTCTGGTGTGAAAAATGCCCACTCCGTCTTTTTCCACTATAAATTTTACAATAACTCTGCAAGCGAAGGAAGAATCTACACGCAGAAAGCTATTTAAAACGTGGTGGTGGATTTATCCAAACTGAGCTTGGCCTGACCCCAAAAGGTGAATTCAGTTCAGGGAGTAGGAGCAGGGGGGCACTCCCAAGTTTTCTCTGCAAATGACCCCAGAGATGTCAGTTTCTGAAATGTCACTGGGCACCAGGGTGGAAATCTTGAACTTGAACTTTGGTCAAGAGGGTATCAGAAAATGAACAGATGAAATAACCACGTTTTCCAGTGATTCAGTTCCCAATGTTAGTTTTTAAGTTATTTTGAAATTCCTTTCTCTGTCCTGCTCATGATTTGGCAATTCGAGCTCCTTTAAGTCTGCAAGCTATTCGGTGTGCTCTTTTGTATGTGGACAGTCTGGTAATATATAGACTCTTTTATAAACCACTTCACGCAGGGCAGATGTACACCTTGCACTCAAGCCACATTCCTCCCCCACCCCCAACTTCTGCACCTGAACTGTGGGTTTGTGTCTGTCAGTAGAATTCAGCAGCTGAGCTTTGCCAGGGCAATGTGCTGTCAAAGGCTTCCACAGTCCTCTGTATCGTTATTTTGTGTATCTGTGTTTCGAGTCGTACGCCACCCCTCACCCCCACCCCACCGCTTCTCTCTCTATGAATGTGACTAGCAAACATAGCTGTGTTTGTTTGGATTTCTTCAGCATGTTCACGCATTTCTCTCATGTTTTGTGGATGACGTAAATTTTGTGTATTTTCTTTCAGGACTCCCACAGCGGAAATGTGGGTGCACGGAGGGCATGACATCTGGAAGAACTCTCATCTTCCTAGACTTTCCAGCTTTGAATTTTGTGGCCTGCACATGTATGTGTTTCCCACAGGGTTGGCCTTCATGCTGAGGGCTTCTCTCTCAGGCAGGCATGAAGGCAGGTGACAGCGGCTCCCAAGAAGACCATGGGGCTCTCATTTTCTCTCTTGCGTTCCCCAGAAATATGGCAGTTGTCGGCGGGGCTCTCTCTCCCACCACAGGAATCTCTGTCCTCCGTCTTTAGGGAGTCCTCATCCTTCAAGTAGGCTGCCCTGGTGCTCCATGCCGAAACCACCTTCCATGGCTGGCACCATTGTGTCTAGACATCCACAGACTAACTGTCCTCAAAACAGCACTGCTCAGTTAAGACACCCTCTTGTGCATTTTAACTTTTAACATTGTCCCTTCAAATTTGCACGATGGTTAGGGTTAACATTCACCCTTTCTGGAGAATATGGCATCATCCCTTGTGAAATACTAAGTCAGGAAGCATGAAAGAGAGATGAGCTTTAATGGTCCTGCTCACCCTTGTTTGGACTTGGCCACCTCCCTGGAAGACCTTGCTTGGAGCAGTTTTCTGTTCACTGTCAGCACAGGAGAGCTGAGTGACAGCTTCAGCACTGGTGACCTTGCTCTCTAATTGACTTCCCAGATCCCCTGCTTGCCAACCCACTCAGTGGAGCCCTCATTTTCATAACCATAGCACGTTAATCATACCTTTACTTAGCGCTTACGCCTTCTGCCTCATATTACAGTTTTCCTTTCAATCTACATATCTATTGACTTATGGTCATCCACATCTACGGTGCATCTGTTAGGTGCTGAGGGTTTCCCCACCTGTTTGGCCCTCTTCTAGTGCTTTATTCCTTTCTGGCCTCTCTCTACCCGAACGCTCCCCAGCAGAAGAGGGTATGGTGAATGTTCCATCTGAGCTGGTGGCATGGACTGAGTCTTGCGCAGGACTCTAGGGAATGTGGATCAAGGAATTCAGGAGCCTTACCCCAGCCTCACGAGACACTGGACACACACATTGTCAGTCTCTATGACCTCATGTGGGTTGGGAGCATGGTAACCCGTGACCGACGGGCCTTCTTGAGACTTGTGCCCTGGGACAGTCCGTGCTCCCACTGGGGCCTGGTGATGCCTGACAGAGTTCCCTCCGCCCGCCCCTTCATTCGATTCTCCGTTCTTGCTCTCAGGCAGACAAATCTGACAAATATTTAGACAGAGTGGATATAAAAAGTGCTTTCAGCAGCTCCCACTTCCTTTCAAGAACTGTTTAGTGAAAGGAAAATATATATGAATAGGTCCCCTTACACTGAACTCAAGAGGCGTCGGACTTGGGCCTCTTGATGACAAGGCAGCCAGCCTCCCCTTGTACCAGCTTCTGTCCACAAGTTGTAAAACGGAGGCTCCGGAGGGGCCAGGCTGGTAGACGGGGTGGGAGCCTGTGAGGCTGGGAAGCGGGCTGGGGGTGAGGGGAGAGCTGGAGGCTGCTTTGCTCAGCCCCAAGACAATGAGCTCTCACACCGGAAGGAAGGGCATGCTGCTTGGAGTGCCTTAGTGCATATCCTGAACTAGCGACTTATGAATAAACGTTGGCTCAATCCAGGTCTGGAAATAAGAATGGGCGCATAATGTCAGGGCCTAAAGTAATCTAAGGCGGACCTTGTGGAAAGCAGGCAGTCGCCTTAAGAGAAGTGACGTGTTCTCTGTCTCTATCTTTTTGACTGCCTTTCAGTGGACAGCTATACCTTGAACTTAGGAAGGAGGGGTTCGGCAGGTAGAAGTGGTAAAATGGATCAGCAAGGGGAGTTCTTAGGAGCCACATTTGATTCTAAACGCTCCTGGATGACCCCACTGGGAGGATCACAGTAAAGATCTTTGGAGACTCTTACTACTGAAAAGATTATGTCCTTCTGCCCATGAAATCCCAGATAAAGGCAACATTAAACCATGAAGCAATTAGGAGGAAACTCAACTGAGTTTTGCTTTTTCCCCCATGAAGATTATTGTGATTTTTAAAAACCCACAAACATCCAATTCTTTTCAAACGCATTTCTCTAGTTAACTGACCTTCCTACTCTTCCGGTACCACAAACAAATGCTTGTCTGCCTGACAGGCAGCCCCCAGCACTCTTTCCAGTTGGATCATAGGTTAAACTGGGTTTTCATCTTGGTCTGTCTCCAGGGTCACCCTGAACCTCTCTTCCAACTCCAACTTTTGTAGCTCTTCCCATCCGTCTCCCTGGGCTCCCTCCATGCACATACGACTCTCACACATTTCCCTTATACAGTGCCCCGCCCAAAGACACAGATGGCGGCGACCTGTCTTCTTGGAGACGCCCAGCTGCCCGCTCTCCACCCATGACCACACTGACCTGTCTTGAAGATCTCATAGCGGAGGGAGAAGCCTGCCCCCTGCCTGGCGTAGTCGGAGGTGAACTTGATGTAGAGCACAGAGCCTGAGGAGATGATGGTGGGCGGGGCGATGTTCCCGCAGTGCTTTCCCAAAAGGTCTGCGGACTCACTGTCTCCATCTCGAATCTCAATGAAGTCATACCTATGTGAGAATGGGAGAAAGGGACACATGTGAGCCACGATCACACTCGGGAGATGAAAGGGACCATTGTCTCACTCCAGCTCCTGTGCCTTCCATTTCTAGATGTTCAGGTGTTTCAGGATGATAAACAAAGGGCACTTTGGTTTGTTTGTATAGTCCGGTGAACCTAGATATAGGAAGTTGCTTTGCCTTATCGAAGCCACGGACAGAATGGGCGCCTCAGTGGATGGCTAGATTTTAAGGCTTTATCTCTTGCCCACGTAAAAGCAGTAGCATCATTCTATCAAATTATCTCAAAACAAACATTTTCCCTTCCTTCCGTAGCACCACTTTTATTTCCATCATGATCTCTCTGAATCTTAGTCATTTTGTCTTAGCTCTTCATCACTGCGAGTTACTTAACCCCTCTGAGATCAATTTCTTCATCTGTAAAGACGAGGATAAAAATATCCAGTTCAGAAGGCTGGGCTGGAGACGGAATGAAAAGTGTAAGGAAGGTGCTAGGCACTGAGCCAGGCGCACTAGGGACATTCCTGGGATCTTTGTTTTCTTTACTGCCCTCTCTCCCATGTTTCCATTTTCTCCTGGGTCATCCCCTCTTCCCTTATCTTTAATTGTTAGTGACAAAAGCTCCCAACCACGGGCGCCCTCCTTCCTTGAGATGACTCTGCAAAGTCCACATCAGCAATGTCTAGTCAACAACACGTTTTTAAAAGGAATCAGCATCATATTAGATAAGGCAATAAAAACCTTTCTCCAAAAGCAGGGGGTGAATCCCCGGGGACCCAGAGTCGACGAGCAAACAACTATTAGCCTCAGCAAGCTGCAGGGCAGGCTGCCCTCCCTGTTCTGAAGCTTGAGCTCATTTCAAATGGAATCAGAGTGGCCCCAGGTTGGGGAAGACACGGCAAAGAGATCCTTGGCTCCGGTCGTGGAATGGCGCACACACCACGGGCGCCATTTTATCTGCACAGGCACACATATCCAGGCTTGGTGCTCCAAGAGTCTTGCTGTGACGACTCCATGCTCCTTCTCTGGGCCCCCAGTAAACATCCCTGTCTCAGCTGCTGAGGTGGGACATTCCTTCCCCACCAGCTCCCTGCAAATTGCTGGCCACTGCACGATTATTTACCAACAACCAGCCATTTCCTTCTCTCTCCCTGTTTATTTTCCATCAATCTATTAAAACAACATGGAGAACATTTCTTTTTTTGGGTGGGGGAGTAAAGAGAGATACTGGAAAAGCTACTCTCCCTGGGATGTGCCTGCAGGCTCTTGCCACACACATGGGTCCGTAGGATCTGGCTGCCTGTAGAAATGGCTTGTTTGAGCTGGAGTGGCCCCAGGCCTTGACGCAGCCCCCAGGAGCCGTATTTCAGATTGCACAGATGCTTATGAGTAAACAGGCCTGTGAAGGAAGTCTGAGGAGTGGACCAGGATTAGTTCAATCTTGGACCCCACAGGCCTGGAATCCTACAGTCAAAAGAATTACAGAAGCTGGTTAGTCTGGAGAAGACAAGATGGCAGAGTTTCTCCCCAGGAGCTCTGATGAGATAGCTACAGACTGAGCAAGGCAGTGGGGGTGGGGGAAGCTGTGATTTCAGTTTAGGAGATGATGCTGACTTTGAAAATGTGCTTCCCCACTTCCAAAACAAAAGTGAAAAGACACTTAATTTATTCTCAGAGGAAATCCCCCAAACCTCCTGGAAAATCCCTCCTTACTGTTTCCACACTGAGGTAAGCACTGCTGGGCAGGCACTGTCTGCTGAGTAATGGGGATGCCTGACAGGGTACACAACAGTGGAGAAGCCAGCTGTGTCCAGCAAAGCAGACATTATCCAGTTCACCTGGAGCAGCCAATGTATGAATGTGCGTGGAGGAGTCCCGTCCCCCTGGCCTCCACCCCCAGCGAATCCCAGAAGTAGAACTGAATTTGGATCTCAGTTCAGCCTTATTAGCTGGGTGACTTCAGGCAAGTTACTTAACCTTTCTGATCCTTAGCAGTGGGGAAAATGACAGTAAAATGGGATATTGGAACCTTCCTCCTAGGGTTGTTGTGAGATTCAAATGACCAACCTAATCCGTATAAAGTGTCAGTACTGAGCCTGGTAGTTAGTGACTGCTCAGTGAACGTCAATTGTGATTTATTGTATTCCCACACCCATTTCTGAGGCGAAGAGATACAGCAAGTGAGATGCAGTATAAGTGGAATGAACATCTATTAAAACATTTTGGAGTGCATTTGGTTGGAAATATGACAAAATCTTTAATCCAGCAATTCTGCTGCTAGGAATTTTTCCTAAGAAAATAATCAGACAGTTATGCAAAGATGTTTATGCATCTTTGTGCAAGTAGGGGCACCTGGGTGGCTTAGTCGGTTAAGCATCAAACTTCAGCACAGAATCTCACAGTTCACCAGTTCGAGCCCCACATTGGGGCTGGAGCCTGTTTCAGATTCTGCGTCTCGCTCTCTCTCTGCCTCTTCCCCGCTCGCACTGTCTCTCTCAAAAATAAGCACACATTAAACAAAAATTAAAAAAGAAAAGTGGAAAGATGACTTCTTTATAAACAGCATCATATCTAAATATCCAACAACAGAGGGTGGGTAAAATCAATTTTGTATTTATAAAATAGAATACTCCACTGCTATAGTAGATAATGCTGTAGGTCCAGATATTTTGTTTTTATGGGAAAATAGCCATGATATATTGTTAGATTAAAAATAGATTTTTAAAAAAGCATGTGTTAAAAAATATATATATACACACACATGTACACATTCTTACATTTACATAAAGAAAAACATCTGAAAGACTACATACTAAAATATGAACAGTAATGAGATATATATGGGTGGTGAAATAATTGGTAATTTCTACTTCCTTCTTTGTTCTCTTCTATTATCTGAATTGCTTACAATGGGCTTGCATTTCTTAAAAAGCTGCAAATATATAAAATAATGCTGCTAACATTAGGAATTTTTTTTCATGTGACAGATGGTAAGCGCACCATGGTGGTGAGCAGGGTGAAATGTATCCAATTGTGGAATCGCTACATCGTACACCTGAAACTGACATAACATCGTATGTCAACGCACTTCAGTAATAAATAAAGACATAATAGAATCAAAGAAAAGAAAAAATAAGATAAAAAGATTTTTTTTCAAAGTAGGAGAGCTGAGGAAAATAACCCGGCTCTCAGAACGCAGCAGATGAAAATGTAAATACCCTCATGACCATCAGCATCACCATCACCACCTGCCTTAGAGAACCGTGGCGGGGACTAAATAAGACACGGCATTGGGTCACCTACAATAGTGCCAGAGACATGGCCCACACTCAGTAAATGCTTAAGCACATTTTTTTAAAAGACCACCAGATACCTCCAGTGTTTCTGTTGCCTGTTTCTCTGGAAAGGACAAAGAGAGGCCCTGACATCCCACTGGCTGGTTCATCAGAAAGGGAGGGTTTTATCTGGTTGCCTAATCACCCAAGGAGTAATTGAGGGGATTAACCCAATCAGCGATGAAGCAGGGCTACCTAACACACGCCGGAGCTATAAGCTGGCCTCAATTGGCTCAGTGAACACACTACCCCAAATCCTTTTCTGTAATGCCGGCAGCTACAAATATATGTACAAAAATATGTAGATATTTACATACACAGAAAGCGAAGGGATGCATTTTTTGAAAAAGGTTCCTATAAATCAATCACACTATACATTTTCTTTCTGAGCTTGTTATTTAAAGGACCTCTCTGGAGAATCCTTTTGTGAAGCAAGTCATCAGCTCTCACTTAAACTCCTTAGAAAAACTGGATTTTCCTATCAGGGTTTGCTTGAGGGGAAAGGGGCCCAGAGTGACAGTTGGGTGGCTAGCCGGCCCCCCCACTTCGCCCCCACTTCCAGTGCCTCCGGGATCTCCCCTGTGGACAAGCCCCAGTTAACCACCAGGTCTTCTGGCTCAGCTTTCTGTGTAAAGGGCACACACCAGATGACATGCTGACTTCACAGAGAACGTCTCACGTCCTGTGTGACTGACTCATTTGGGGAAAATTTTTTATTATTAGGGATTTGCTACAGCTGGAGCAAATCTCCTTAGAAATTTCGGCGTCGTCAGGTTCATTTGGAAGAGCTCACAGAGGATCAGGAAGTTGGTGGCCTTGGAATAAACATGGTCCCGCATCTAGCATCTGATACCGAGCGCTTGTGTGGTAAAAGAATCTGGGGTCTAACCCCGGGGCTTACCCCAGCGACAGTCAGGTAGGATAACCTGAAAAGCCATTCCTCTTAGAACACATTATTCATTCTCCGGAAGAAAACATAAACCAGCTAACGGACCTATTAACTACTGTGTTTGCATTTCATTAGTCGTAATCACCCTCAAATGAAAAAATTCCTTCCAAAGCTTTCACGCTACCTTTTATTATTTTATTCATCTATTTACTTTCCTAAGCTCAAGTAGCCATTTCCACCCCTACCTTTCTCTTTCTCTCCAAAATGGTTCCCGAATGCCTTTTTCCTCTTCTCCTCACAGATTCCGACATCTGCATGTTGAGCATTTGTCTAGAGAACGTTTTCTGTCTGTTCTTCCTCGACTTCAAAGTCTTAATTTCTCTCCCCAAACCCACAGTTGGGGCGTGGGGATCTTGACAGCGGAATTAATTTTCAGGGACCACGGGAGAGGTATGAAAAAGCAACAGTCTCATCCCTTCCTCTCATCACCAAGGCAAACATGAAAAGAGGCATTCTACTTCCCGTAACTCTATCCACGCTTGACACTTCCCAGCAGGCCACCAAAACACCGGGTTAGCCAACCGAGCCTGTGCTGCAAGATCCACTAGACATCAGAGCCCGGGTGCCCAGCCAAGTCCTGAAGTCTCAAACTTTGCCAACCAGTCAGTGCCTCCTTTTATGCTGCTTGTATCACAAACGATTAAGACCTCACACTTTGCACACGGCAAGCTCTTTCCAGCCAGCCTCTGGGCCTTTGCACTTGCTCT